AATCATCTAGAACAGTGGTTCTCAATCTTCCTAATGCCGAGACCCTTTAATACAGTTCCTCATGTTGTGGTGACCCCCAATTTCATTGTTACAAATTGAACATAATTAAAGCATAGTGATTAATCACAAAAACAGTATGTAATTATATATGTGTTTTCCAATGGTCTTAGGCGACCCCTGTGAAAGGGTCATTCGACCCCCAAAGGGGTCACGACCCACAGGTTGAGAACCGCTGATCTAGAAGCTTGGCTTGGATTGGAGGATCTGCTTCTTAGCTTACATTTCTTAGAAAAGATTTTATCTTTTCCTACAAAATTTTGCTACTTCTAATGAAAACAGAAATGCCCAGCAGGGTCCAATGTAAAGCAGCTAAAACTTGAGTTAATGATAGATCAGTAGCTCCTCCAGATGCCCTGGACTTCACAGCCTTCGAATGGAATATTCACTTCCACTCGCCTCCTTGTTCCCGGTGGCCAATCCCTCTCCCAGAGCCGAGGGTCCTGGCAGGCCTGGATTATATGACCAAGTGCACAGATTGGATTAGGAAGCCAGCTTTGAGTCATTAGCAAGTAAGAAAAAGAAGAACACAAATGGTGCTTTTCCACTCAGGTGACCCACGGTGTCCTGAGTGCTGTTTGAACAGTGTGGGTGACATGGCTCATATCACCATGCAGATTCCCCACTCAATCAGGGGCCAGACTGTCCTGTTTCTACAGCCCCCCAAGCCCCACCGTTCTGGGCTCTCAGGGTGCTGCTCCTTGCTGTCCAGGACCCGAGTTTTGATTCACAGTCTGTGAGCCCTGAAGCTCATGTCTGGCCAATGTACCCCCTTCCTCTTTTCTTTCTTGGCTCTAATATAAAAGCTGCGTGTTTTTGGAAGGTTCTTTCTTGGAAAGTTCACTAAAGTTAGAGACAAAGATAAAACATTCAAGATGGATGTCCATCAGGGAAAGAATGAAGGGAAGAAGAAAAGAGGAAGTCAACAGAAAAAGGGTTTAATGGGTTTTCTAGATAGTTTGTCTTGCTACTATATACAGAATAGATAAAAACCCAACCCTGCTCTTTAAACCTATCTGAGCATAGATAGATCCTGCAGGTCATAAACGCTAAGTGAGGAATGGAGGGTGGTACCAGTTGGTTAGCAATCTGTATCCCTAAATCGCTGCCTTCGTGTGAAATCAACATGCTATAAACAGCATTCGCTCCTCCTTTACCAGTCACCTGTTGGAGATTAGCCAACAACAACAAAAAAATAGTCTTTATTCTACAATAATTAGATGATTCCTGGCATTTAAAATATATAGTATCATCCTTTGCTGAACAAAAAAAGACGAAAGTCGCACCAGCTCTGAGGGCAATTGCTTGGCTAATACCCAGTCCTCAGTGAATCTGTCACTGCATCTGCTCAAGCATCTCGATCAAGGGTTCTCTAAGAATCCGCCTGCAAAAATGATTGTAATTCACGTGGGGGTGGAGCAAGTGAGGTGTTCCACCGAGGTTTCTTCTGTAGAAGATCCAGAGGAAAATGACTGGAAACTCCTCCAAAAGTCAGACTCTCTGCATTTTTTGTTGTTGTTGTTATTAATCCTCACCCGAAGATAATTTTTCCATTGCTTTTCAGAGAGAGTGGAAAGGAGGGAGGGAGAGACGGGGGAGAGAGAGAGAGAGAGAGAGAGAGAGAGAGAGAGAGAGAGGGGGAAACATCGATGTGAGAGAGACACATCAATTTGGTTGCCTTCTGCACGGGGCCCCGAACCGGCCAGGAATCAAACCTGCATCCCAGGTACATGCCCTTGACTGGGATCAAACCTGCAACTCTTGGGTGCAAGGGTGGAACTCTAACCGCTGAGCAACATGGGCTAGGGTAGATTCTATATTGTAACAAGTCACCCTCCCAGGTGCTTTGTATGCAAATTAAGAGAGGAAGGGACAGCACACTTTTTGGGTAAAGAGCCAACTAATAAATATTTCAGGCTCTGCAGGCCTCTGTCCAGCTCCTCCGCTCCACCTCTGTATTGTGAAAGCACCAATAAACCTGGGGTCTGCAATGGATGGTCCGTGGGCCACATCTGGCCAGTCACCTATTTTTATACAGCCCACTAGCCAAAAAAAAAAGAAAAGCATTTTTAAATGGTTCAATACAAATTAAAGCATAATATTTTGTGACATGTGAAAACTGTATGAACTTCAAATTTCAGCGTGCATAAATAAAAAGTTATCAGAACCCAGCCACATTGGTTTGTTTACGTATTGTCGGTGGCTGTTATGATGTTACAATGGCAGAGTTGAATAATCGTGACAGAGACCATATGGCCTGCAAGCCTAAATATTTACTGTCTGACCCTTTGCAGAAAAAATTGGCCACCCCCTGCAATAAAACTTCGTGGGCACTGAAATTAGAATTTCAAATAATTTTCTCATTATAAAATACTATTCCTCTTTCGGTTTCCCCCTCCAACCACTTGAAAATGTAAAGGCCATTCTTAGCTCTCGGAATGTACAAAAACAGGCACCCTCTGAAGCGAGCTGGGTTCTGCAAAGCTTCATTTGGGGAACACAGTCCAGGTTTCCTGAAAGGAAAAAAAATCTTCTCAGGCAAGGTTTCCCAAGCTCAAGTGTGGCCAGTAGTCATCTCATTTTTCCTTAATGAAGTCACCCCTTTCCTGGTCTCCGTCGCGTGGTTTGGGAGGACTCCCACACCCCCCAACTCCAGGTAGGAGCCCCGAGTTGATTAAGCCAGTCAGTGTACCCGAATCCTTTGATCATGGTTTTGGGTTCAAGGCACATGATCCCTAAACCAGGGCCAATGAGATGTCAAGACCTTTCCTGGGCTCCTTGCCCTGCAGGTGCAGCTGAAGGAGAGAGACTGTTTCCTAATGGGCACAAACAAGGAAGGATGTCACCACCAGGAGACCTACTGATTGTCCTCTTGTGACCCCAGGGGAAAGCTTGCCCCAAAATAGGAGCAACACCAAGAAGCCAGAGATAAGAAATACAGATTTCCTTTGCATCCTGGATCACAAGATTCCTGAAACTATACCTAAACTATTATGCGGGTGGGCCAACAAATTCCCTTTTGCCCGACCATGTATCACTAACATTATCTATACTAATAAAAGGGTAATATGCTAATTAGACCAGACGTCTTCCAGACATCCTTCCGGACATCCTTCCGGACAAAGCCACGGTGGTGGGGGCTGAGGCAGAGGTGGTTAGGGGCGATCAGGCAGCCAGGCAGGCAGAGAGGTTAGGGGTGATCAGGCAGGCAGGCAGAGTGGTTAGGGGTGATCAGGCAGGCAGGCAGGTGAGTGGTTAGGAGCCAGCGGTCCCAGATTGCGAGAGGGTGCAGGCTGGGCTGAGGAACGCCCCCCCCCCCTGCACGATTTCATTCACAGGGCCTCTAGTACAATATAAAAAGCATGCAATCGTTTTACAAAAAGAGAACTGTGGCATAAAGGAAAGTGACAGACAACAAGTCACCCTGAGCAGTAGAGGCCCTCAGATCCCTGCGAGGGATTTATTGTCACCCCTCCTGCTGGAAGCAGAGAACTGGCTGGCGTGTTCTGTTTGTTTCTGGACTCACCCAGTTACCATCGGCTGTGAAATGTTTGTAGAGTAGCAAAGAGTGGGGGCTAAAATCTGGGAGATGGGGCGTAGGAGCCTTGGAGAAAAGCAGACAAGAATTCAAACCTGTCCTCCACCACCTATTAGCTGTGTGCTTTATAGGAAGTTACATAACCTCTCTGCGCCTTACTTCCTCATCTGTAAAATGGGGGGGGGGGGGTAAAATAAGATAATACACGTAGGGTGCAGATCAGGTAACCATTCTTATGAGCCATCTGCCCTCCCTGTCAGAGGAAGATGTCCTTCTGGGCTTTTGGGGGAGCTGGAGGGCTGGGGCCAGAGCTGGCTCGCACGGAGCACAGTCCTTCAGGATTGGGCTGTGTGCCCAGCACATCCCACTTAAGGACCATTCGCAAACATTCACTACTTAGAAGGTCACTTTAATAATTAGTCTTGCTTTGCTAATTACACTTTACTGATTAGAAAGGACCGACCAAGGGTTGACAATACTGGGGTTGCTGTGAGCGCTAATCTTTTAGCAGCCACGGACCCAAATAATGGTGACTGATTTTGCTGTTGAGCTTTTATCTTTAAATGCACTGTGTCAATAGGGCATTGTGATGGGAATGCAAAGAGGAAGCCCCGGAGGCCAGGGGGATTCACACTCCCTTCCCGGCATTCCCAGGCCTGACATTCAGCTCTAAACCTGAGCCCCTGGACCGAGTATCCCTGAGAATCAGGAGACAGTAGCCAGCTTCTAGGGAGTTGTTTTTTGTTTTTTTAAAATCTGAAGTCTGTGGTTTGTAAAAACATTTTACTAGTAAACATTAGCATTAGCCTGTGCTCATGGAGAGCCTGCTCTGGGCTCAGCATCTACATCGATGTGCACAAGAGTGATGGATGCGGGCGCTAGAGTTCTGTCCATTTTACAGGTACGGCCAATGAGGCACAGAGACGAAGTGGCAGAGTCAAACTCCAACCCAGTCTGTCGTGAATACAACCATCCGTTCTGTAAGGGATCTTTGGGCCTCTCTGAACTATTCAACCTTGTTCCCTCTCTTTAATAATAATAATAATAATAATAATAATAATAATAATAAACGGCCTTTAAAAAGGCAGATACAATTCTAGTGGAATGATAGCAGTAACACCATGTGTGCCTGTGAGGTAATCCGCATAGCGCTTAATGTGCATCATTTTAGTTAATTTTCATGACAGTCATACGTGCCCATTTTACAGATGAGAAACTGAGGCTCGGAGAAGTTCAGTGATTTGCGCCAACGCCACAGAGATGGTAAGGGTCGAACTGGGAGCCAGGAAATAAAAGTGTAGTAAACTGGCAGCCAGAGAAAGGCCGGGCTGAACCGGCCCGAGCCGCGCCCCAGAAGCACTGCAGCTGCGGCCTGGGGACCCCGCCCCCACCCTGCCCCGCGCTAATGGGGGTAGAGCTCGGCGGCGCCATCCTGCAAGCCGCGTCTGATAATCGCCCTGATTACACGGCAGGACGGCCAGGGAAGGCCGCCGCCAGCGCCACCGTCCCGCTGGCTGAGCCAGGTCCAGGCACAGGGGGGGCTCTGACTCGGACATCTGCGTCCCAGCCCCGGAGGCGGCGGCCGGAGCCCAGGGCACCATCTCTGGCCTCGGGTCCTGGGTGGGAGCCTCGTGTGTCCGTAAGGGGCCCGCGTGTCGCGAGCGGAGAAATGGGTTTGGGTCTGCCTCTCCGAAAATGCAGTCTTTCCAAGAGACCCCACGGCGTCGCCCCCGGAAGGGTCTTTGGAGTCGGATCCCCCTGTAGAGTCACCAAGTGGGGCAGGAGGTGGAGCCGGCGGAGGGCGCGTGGTCCCCTTGGCCTCTCCAAAGTGCAGGTCAGGGACCCACGCTGGCTGCTGGGATGGGGTGGGCTGGTGGGAGGGAGCAGCGGACCCCAGATGAGAGGCGGGAGTGCGCCTTGCAAGCCCTGGAGACGCATCCGCGCCGCCTGGTTGCGGGAAGGATCCGCTTCCTGCCCTGGCATCGCCCCAACTTCGGTCGGTCCTGCTCCCAGCGCACTCACCGTTGAGCCTCCCTCTTCACAGCTGGGGAAACTGAGGCTTAGAGCAGACCACACAGCTCAGGGGCCCACGGCCAGCAAAGGGCAAATCTGACTTCGAACCTCGAAAACCTGGCAGTCTGCCTCCAGAACTTGGGGGTCCTCGGGCAGTGCGCCTCACAGACTCCCACCAAGCGGCCGTGATCCCCAGGCCGACGCTGTCTCTAACTGCCTAGCCGCCTCCGTCTGCAGATGACTCCGTAGTTAACACCATTAAAGAAAAAAAAATCTACAAAGGCCGCCTGCGCCCGCGGTCCTTGGAGACACGGAAGGACCTTCGCGTGGCCGGCGGGCCAGGAGGCTGCACGGTGCCCAGTTTGGAGGCATAAAGTCCCTGGTCCTGCTGGGCAGACAACAAAGACGTGCACGTGTTTCCTGCCTCTGGGGCTGCGGTTTACAGCCCCAGAAAATTCAGCCCTCTCCGCGCTGCCTCTGCTTCCAGAACAGCAAGCCAAGCAAGTCAGTGCTGGAATTCAATGTGTGGGGGGAGGTTAAGTTAGCCTTCCGAGCCTCATTTTCTGCAGCTTTAAACATGCACATGCTAATGCGACCCGACTGATGCTATTACCAACGTTATATATTCTTGGAAAGCCGAAGCGCAGCGCTTGGCACGCATTAAGTGCGCAATGGCTCTGTGTAATGCACTGAAAACTAGCATCCAGAACCTGAGATGTACTCAAAGCGCCTTCAGACTACGTGAGTTCATAGGAGAAAAGGCCGCGGAGAGGCCGGCTGTGGGCCTCCAGCCTTTCCAGCGAGTGTTCGCAGCGGAGGCCGGTTGGAACGCGGGGGAGGACCTGGCCCCTCCTCGCCATGGCACGTGAGGCCCTGAGTGGGACCCAGAGCAGCCCACGGCCCCAGAAAGAAAGCTGTTCCTGACATCCCAGAGCGTGGAAACTGGAGCTGTTGGACACACTTCTTGGTCAGATCTAATCTGTATCAGCCCTAGATCACAAAGGGGTTTCTTCCCAAGTTCCAGGGTTCGTTGACCCCACCGGGACATTGCTTCCTTTAATCTTCACAACAGAGTCTTGACGTAGGTATTGCCCTCAGTGACCATATTTTACAGATGTGGAAACTGAGCCAGCACAGCTTGCTCCAAACCGGTGTTTCAGATACCAGACCCCAACACCTTCTTCTGCAAGGCTTTTTATTCCTTATTAGTTCTGTCTTATTTGTACTTAACACTGAGCCATGATGCCCCTACATCCCAAGGGTTCCTTTAGTTCAGTGATGAGGAGAATGAATGTGTGTGTTTTTATATCCGTGCTATTTTATCCATCTCCAGCTGGGTTTTGAGTCCTTGTTGGGCAGGGATGATCCTATGCAACTTATCCAACCACATCCCCACCGCAATATGCCAGTGCCTGGTCCAGAAGGAGTGAATGCCCCACATAGGTTGAGTTTGCTACGTCTGCTCCTTGTTTTCCCGAGTCTTTGTCACAATTTCTCTTTCTTGTGGTTTTTACAGGCTTGCTAGTGTCTCCCACCAGAAGGTGAGTTGCACAAGCAGGAAGTTTAGGGTTCTGGTGGCTGGTCTGTTCCTGGGACCCAGCACAGTACCCAGCCCAGAGCGAGCACCAGATGACACTGGATGAATGAGCAAATACTCTGCACTCTCTGCCATTTATTTGGTGCCCATGTCTTTGTTCCCTTGTGCAGTACATGCTTCACGTCCTCTGGGAGCATGCTGGCTTTGGGAATAGGTGCCCAAGCCCTTCCTGGGTATATTTTGCCCTGGGCGGGGAATAAGATGAGCTTTCCTGGTGGCTTCTGGGGTGACTCACAATGAATGGGAGCTGGCGGCAGAGACCTTGGAGGGCTACTTCCTGTCTGTGTCTTCCTCACCTTGATCTTCTAAACCTCTGGACAGGCATGGATGGTTTGTAACCAAACAGCCCCAGGCCAGCTCCTGAAGACCCAAGGCAGAGGTGCCCCAGCAATCACCCCCGAGAGGACAGGGGCAGCTGGCTGGTGGAAGGCTGGGCCATCTTCCCCACTCGGCCCTCGCTAAGTATAACTAGGTGACACCTCCAAAACTGGCGCTGCTTGTGGGAGGCAGGGCACTGCCGGCAAGACAGCTGTGACTGCTCATCTCCGCAGTCCTCTCCTTTCGTTTTGAGTTCGTTTTTAAACGTCTACAAACCTGCAGCTCAGGAAGCATGCTGGCGGCCTGTCTGGCTGCAGCGGGCCCATCCCGGCAGGCCCCACGGGTCTGCCCCGGGGGCTGGGCACTCACATTCATCCTCTGTCCGCTTCCCTCCTCCTCGTGGGAGTTCTCGCTTCACCGGGTCAGTGCCTGGGTCATGGCAGGAGTGAAGATTGGAAGCTAGAAATTTGCGTTGGAATCCCTGCTCTAATGCTTATCATCAATGTAATTTCGATCAAATTCTAAACCTTGCTGATGGGGCCGGGACTAGGGTGAGAGCCCAAAATTTAAGGGGGCGCCAAAAAAATTATTTAATTAACAATTAAATAATATTTTATTTAAGTAATTGAATATTTTATTTAAGTAATAAATAATATTTTATTTAATTAAGTAATAATTAAATAGTATTTTAATGCAGCAATTTTAAAAAGCAAAACTCATGCAACAAATTCACGACGGAAAAAACGATCTAAGCTTTAATTAGAGACAGGGCAGGGGCGTTGGTAGGGGGAGGTGAGGCAGGGAGATCCCTAGAGGAGGGTTGGAGAGGGAAGGCGGGAGCAGCGTGGAGGAGGAGGGAGGGCGAGCTGCGGGGAGAGCGGTCAGCATCCCTCGCTCACAGGGTCAGAGCTCTGTCTTTGTTGTTGTTGGGATGGCGCTGCGAGGTTTACACCCCGTGGGCTGTAGCGCGCCGGTCCTTCCCGGGTCAGAAAGCCTGCGGGCCGGGCGGTCCCCGCAGCCGCGAGCTCCCGGGAAGAACCGAACCGGGAAGCAGTGTTCGCGGGGTGGAGCGGGACGGTCGCAGCCAGAGGGAGCATAGGGGATGGAGGCTGTGGGGCCCAGCGCGCCTGCCCTCTGCCCCCAGGCCCAGGACTGCCTGCCTGTGGACACCGCAGGAGGGCGGGGTGGGGTGGGGCGGAGAGAACGTCGCAGTACCGGGGCTGCGGCCACCAGTGACCTTTTCCTTCACCCCCTGAGGACACGGTCCTGGGCCTGGTGCGACCTGCCTTGGCCCGCACGGCATCCCTTTCCTGGGCCCGATGGCTGGGCGCCGATGTGAGGACGCGCGCACACAGGTCCCTGTGACGGTCAGAGGACACATGCGGCCGCGGAAGGAGCTGGTCTTGGCCTCGCCCTGCACCCGGCGCTGGGCGTGGACGTCAGGCTTGCTGCGGGGGCTACAGCGGGGCGCGGCTCCGGGGCCGCTTGGGGGTCAAGAAAACGTAACGTCTTTAGGGGGTACGGTGTTCGTTCGAGCCTGGTCCCCCAGCTCCTGCGAGGAAAGGCTGTGCCCGCCCTCTCTGCGCACCGTGACATCGAGGGCCGCGCCACCTTGTTCCCCCCCTGTGCGCGGGGACGCGCTGCCCTCGGCCCCAAGGGGACCTGCGGAGCCGCCTGCGAGAGGCTGCGGCCTCCCCCCTCCCCCCCACCCCGGACTTCGGGAGTCTTTCCCCAGCGGCACACCGAACTGAGAAATCCCAAGGCCCATCACTGTGCCTTTAAAAGAAATATATTTTTTTATGATTGATTTCACAGAGGGAGGGAGAGGGAGAGAGAGAGAAACATCAGTGATGAGAGAACCATTGATAGGCTGCCTCCTGCACGCCCCACACTGGGGATGGAGCCCGCAACAGGGCAGGTGCCCTGACCCTTGAACCGTGAGCTCCTGGTTTGTAGTTGATGCTCAACCGCTGAGCCACAAGTGGGGCCGTCACTGTGCTTTTCCAGCATTCGCCGGAGAGGATGGGGCGGGAGGGCTGCCCGCCTGCTGAGCAACCGTCTCCTTCCCCCTTCGGTCTGGCCTTCACCCACCGGTGCCTGATGCCCTCTGGGCCCTTACCCGGTCCGCCGCTCCAGCGCAGCCCTCGCTCCCAGCGCCTGAGGGACGTCAGCGACGCTAGCGGACGGTCCCTGCCCTGTCAGCCCCGGCTCTGCTTTAGCTACAGTTAAGCGAGGGACACTGGCCAACAGCGGGAAACCTATTACTTCCAGGGCAGCTCAGGAGTGAACTAACTTTTGAGCTGCGGATGCTGCAAATGAGAATTGGGAAGGGCGGCGTGCAGAAGGCATCCCCAGCCCTCCGTGTAATGCAAGTCCGTATGATCAAACTCAGACGTGTAACCAACAGTTTAAATTCCTAGCCTCCCAAGTTCAATGGGACTTAAATAATGCTCCCTTACCACCCAGTGACCCCAATTCTCTGCGCCCGGTTCCAAAACTGTCTACAGCTCTGCGATTGATCGAAAAATTGCAGTTCAAAAATTAAATGTAATAAAATTCTGTACTTAATGTTTTACTTAAATTGGGGTCACTGTT